CTCGGAGGACCGTAGCTCGAGCTAGGAGCACCGTTACCATTTCCATTGCCGTTACTGTTGCCATTTCCATTTGTCGGTAAACCATAAGTCGAGATGGGCGCACCGTTTCCATTTCCACCGTTACCATTTCCGTTCGGTTTTCCATTGCCGTTTGCGGGTGGTAAATAAGAATTGGAAGGCCCACCGCCGTTGCTCAGGGGTGGCCCTCCGCTATAACCATTGCCATCACCATTGCCGCCGGGCCCGATGGGTGTGCCCGGTTGGAAACCAGGTGGTCCGTAAGAACCATCTGATTGTCAAAAGTAAAAAGTCAATTGAATTAAAAGCATCTCCCAAACAAAAAATTAACAATATACAATAACATTTGAAATGATCGATGAATTGCTAGAGGCTTGTTCGGTCACCTAAACTAAAAAAGCATGCTGTACTTACTCGGCGGAAGATATTGTGGGGGAGGTTCGCAAAGGACGAAACTCAGACAGACGATGACCAAGAAACACTGTGTCATTGATTCGTTAATATCTAATTACCAATTATAATTTTAATTACTTTACCTTAAACATTTTTGATAATGATATTTTCTTCTCAACTGGAAAATGGAACCCTTCGAGTCAACTGTTTGTTTGTTGCTGATTGGTATGGTTGGAGCGGTTGTGTTTGAATGAAGTGGCTTTGATCCCCTTGCCACTTTTATACTAGCCGCGATCGTGATTCAATATCATGTATTTAGTACATACGGCACCAGTAAGTTTTTTTCTTTTCTTTTCTTCGTCGTCGTCTTCTTTTTATTTGCCTCTCTTCGGTGTCCCCATCTTCTCGCTCCACGCAAGAGAGGATCCTCTCTGTCATCTCTGATTTTCAATCGGGGGACTCGAGTATCGCACATCGCGTACCCAATTCCCAGAGGGTACGCCGAACCGTCTAAACTAGATTCCTCTCAGTTTGCGAACGCGATAATTTATCGTCATCGGCAGCCCGAGGTGGTTGGGAATCGAAGATGTGGCGAAAATATTCAGTTTATGGAAAACGCACGCACCGATAATTTCTCAATATTGACGACAATCACGTAATTGCGCGCATCAGAAGCAGACCATTTTCAAACGGAGAGCAAGGTCTCCTCACCCAGCTCATCGTTGCACAAAAAATTCTAATTCCATTTTTAAATATTTCTTCTTCTTCAGAAGTCCACGCATTGCGAAACTCCACATCTCGCTATATTAGTTTCATTACCATTGGGACTCATTTATTCTAGATCAATTACATCTATCCACTTCTTTTCCAAGGAACTTACAATGGAACACTTCTTTTTAATGATGAAAACTCTTACGAAACAACGTGTCTTCTTTATATTTTAATTCATTACCATTTTTAGATTCATATATAATAAATTAGAGTTAAAAAGATAAATTATCAATGGAAAAATAACACAATCTTGATTCTCATTTAAATTAATAAGCAGCAACCTAATACGAAATCTATATAAAACGATATTCCAATATATATTTTCGTTCATAACTGTAATAAAATAATTAATTCCTGTCATCTACTATGTTGCATTCAATATAACGCCACATTTGTAGTAATTGATGCACGTAAATAAAATTTAAGTGGTAATTGAGTTATTTCATATTTAGTTTTACAGATGGACATTTTATTGCGTGATAGTATATTTACATTAGGAGAAGATAAAAACTAATTTTGCAATAATGTATAATAATAATGAAAAAAGCAATAAACAGTCAAGACAAAAAATCACAGCTATAACAAACAGCACATAAATTCTAAATTAGTCAATTAATTGTATATAATTATATGTATTTTATAAGGCAGATAATTATTTTTTTATTATGCAGTAAATATTTTCTAACAACTCATATAATCCTTTCCAAATAATAATATGTAAAGTATTTAAAAATTGAGACATCATTAACTCATTGCATATAAAATTATTAATATTACTTATATAATAATAACATTTATTGCAACAAATTACCATTAATACAAACTCAACAAAATAACATAATAAGAAAAATAAAACAAAACTGAATTGCTGCAAAGGGCTACTGACCATACGTATTTCTGCCCTAAGAATATTACATTTTTGCTCTTAAAAATCCAAACATAATATGTTATAGGCTATTAAATAATATTGAATTATAAGATTGAATAATTAATAACAGTGGCAGAAAATAGTAAGTTTTATTTTTGATATACTTTTAATATTCCCAAGAATGGTTAAACATTAAATCGTATAGTTTGTGACTATTTTATCATAACAAACCCTTTTCCGTTCTTAAATATTTGGGTACAATCATAAAACTTAAATAAATAATCGGTTAGAACTTGCACATATTGTAAACAGATTTCATTTCACCGAAAAATTGAAATTTTTGAAATGGTCCAGGGAAAAATATTTACTTCCTATTTATTAACTTTAAGAAAACTCTAGTTGATAATCTATGAGATCAGCACTTGTATAGTTGACTTCTCAATAAAACCACTGATCTGTATAATAAAACTAATTAATAATGTTGCATTTAATATTCATAAACTAAGACTTCTCTTTTTTTCCTCTAAGACTTTGCAACGATATGTTATGTGTATGATAATATATTCTAATTGTAATAATAATTTAATAATAATTTCTAATTGTAATGAAATTTTAAATTTTGTGATTTAAATCATTTTTGGTGTAGTTTGGTGGGTTATAATCAACGTTTCTCAACATTTTTGACGCGCGACTCAACATATCTAATTTGTATTTGTAAAGCAACCAAATTGTTAAGGGTATTTTGACAGTTCCTCGCTTTCACACTCGGAAATCAAACATAAAAATATGTGTTTTCAGTTCAGAAGTTTTTATTATATCTCGTTACTTGCAAAAATATCATTTGAGTCACTATTGTTTTTAAAATTTTTATATCTGTTTTATTAATCTTTTATTAAATATTATACGTAAATACGTTGCTTTTAGCTGCTTAACTATACAGGTATTCCCCGACTTACAAACTCCCGGACTTACAACCCAATTCTAAAAGTTCTAACTTATTACAATGAGATATATAGTGATAACAAAATTAACTGTTCAAACAAAAATTGATAATTTCTTTAATCAAATGTAATATGTTTGGAAGATACTATCTGTTTTGTTGCATTTATTTCTTTTATCGTTTTTCATTAAATAATTGTTATGTCTACATTGAAAAATATTTGTAAGTAAGTATTTTGTTTATTTTAATCTATTTTTTCAAAATTATACAGTTAATAATATGGAATTTAATAAATATAAAAGTAAAAACCATGATAAAGTGTGGGGATACCTGTACTAGTAATAATCAATAAATTTAACATTAACAGTTAATAAGTTATGTGTTTTATTGTATTTAAAATGATTTTCATCCTAATATTACATAATAATTAATAAATAAATGTAATAATAGTACAAACTAATGTATGTAACTAGTATACCCGACTATTTGAACGGTAACGTACTGATTTTATATATATCTAATGGGACTCAAAATATTATCCTGCGAGACCACTTGAATATAGCCAACTTTAAAGTAGAAATTGAAAAACTGATAAATTGAACTTTCAGGTTTCTAGTTCGTTTTAAATGATGAATTTATTCTTCTTTAGAAACACTACAAATATATGACAAATAAAAGAAATAAATGTTAAGTAGTGCTTTAAACTAGGGTTTACCAAACTATGTTAATTGGTGTTTCGTGAAAATTTGGAATTAAATAATTACTAAATCAATAATTAATGTTTTATTTCATTTTTTTAAAATTTTGTTAATTATGTGTTATTACGTACTCTACAAAATAAAGAAGGTGTTCCGTGATATTATCGGGATTTACGAACTGTTCTTTTACAGGAAACCCTGCTTTAAACAATAAACATTTATTTATTCTTTAATTATATTTTATTGACCAGAATATATATAAAAAAAACATAAATTGCTATTCTGTTGCACTCCTATGTCCTCATGGATAAAATCAAAGTGTAATAATATTGGTTACCCTATAGACCAGGGGTGGCCAGCTTTTGTGTACATAAGATCTACCTTTTATCTTAAAAATGCGTTGCGATCGACTTGTTGTGATATGCGTAGTCTAAACGGGAGAGAGTTGTAAAATACATGCTATATTTATATATCTACTTATGTAAAAAGAACATAATTACTTTGTATCTATTTCGCGATAGACTAAAATTGGCTTCGCGATCAACTTATTGGCCACCCCTCCTGCTATAGACTGTTTTTAAAGCAAACCATGTCGATATTTTATTGTTGATAGTTGTATTTCGCGTTGATCTTTGTCGAATTTGTTCCTTGTTTTTTTTTTCGTGTTTGGCATTTTAAAATGTATGAAATTTTTAATTAGAAAATATTTTTTTTACATCAGCGTTATATTATTTTTGTTCAATATAACTTTTTTTTATTATTCTGTACGACAAAGCAAATGCTCTTTGCTCATCGCCGGAAATGAAACTAATTTGCAACCGTGCTATTGCAGTGAAATGATATTTGTCATTTCGATTCTTAAGAGCAGCTGTGTTACTATAACCTTCAACAATGACCCAGTATATCACGAAATTCACTCATCATAATTGTCACTAATTGGGATTGTTCCATTCCCCAGCAAGATTATTCAGGTAAATGAATAATTTGATCTGATAAACTTTGTTTTTTTTTCTATGACTCATTTTGAAAATAACATAACATTTATTAATTCAAATTAATTTAAATTATATAACTATATAAATGGGAGTTAATTTGTTCTATATAAATAATAATGCAGAACAATTAATTTCAAGAAATGCGTTGCTGCAACAGATGGAAAGAGATTGCCAATTTCCATATGCATGAATCTTTCTAATCCAAGGTTTTTCCTCGTAAAGAAATTCTCTAGATTACACGTAATCCATGCTTAAAGAGAAGACGAACGCGTCTGCTCGGCTGCAAGCGTTTCGTGTTGTGTTCCTTAAAGATATTTAGTATGAAGTGTGCAATCGAGATGGTTTATGATACAGATACGAATGGAACATGTCTCTATCGTGTGTTTCAATTATTTATTTCACCTTGTTTGTTTCATTTTTTTTCTCTTCTTTTCATTTTTTTTTTCTATTGCTCCTCTTCGGGTTACAAAAGAGGAAAGAGACGGGATTTCACGAAGATGAAGAGCTGCCGTCCAAGTTTGGTGCGCGCTCTCCAATTAGTCCCAGACTCAGCACGTTTGTAATTTTCGTTTAGCGCTGCTTATTCACTCATTCTTCTTTTTCTTCCTTTTTTTCTGTAACTTATTTTGCTGGCAAAGAGCATCGCTAATTGGAAAAGTCCGTTGGTTCTGTGTTATGCCGCGCGCAACTCTGTATATGCCTTTTTTATTCGCTCTTTGCAAAATGATATTTATTGCCGATTCAATGGAATTAATCCCACTGGCAATGAAATCCCTGTGTGCAATTCTGACAGGAATTATGAAATGGAACGCTTTCAACGGATTT